CGCGTTTGCTAAGAGGGTTTCACCGGCCCAGGAACTCAGAAAGCGAAGGCAAGCTATCGCTCACCATATTGACTGACCTACTTGAACTAAGCAAACTCGGTAGTTTTGGCACAATTCTAAGATGATGGGATCGATGACTTGGCCCATCATTAAAGTGAAAGAGTACATGTAAGTGTACATGAACCCTGGTTTACTGAAAGTGACCCTTTCCACTTTATTAGGGGCTAAAACTTTAATATTGTTCCAGCCACAATCTTCTTTCATGACGGGAATACTAGCAGGATGAATTGAAGAAGGATATCTACTAACATGTTTGTTTCTGTCATTTTTAGGGTTACAGGGTTCCTGTTGAACTTGGAGGTCCGTATCACAATTTAGTTGAGAGGGGATGATTGTGCTAGTAATAGGAGGACCAGCATCCACTTCCGTATATTTATTCTTCTTGGATGGGCCACCACCGATGTAAGTGTATGAGTTGCCGAGGAAGAGATACTTAGAAGACACGGTGATGGAAAATGTGAATAAGAAAGTTTTACTAAGAAAGAGGGAGTTGCAGAAAAGCTCTTAGAAAATTCGAAGAAGAAAGGTTTGTAAAAGTGAAAGGTAAAAGTAGTAAGAAGGGGGAAGTTTATAGGAGGCAGAATGCAAAGCCATCATTACCTAGGTAACTGGTGAAAATATTTGTCGAATCACGAGATAACACATGTTCGGCTCATTAAATACAAGGAGGCATGCATCCTTTGAAATGTCAGAAAGCATTCAGAAACTTTCCCGCCAAGTAAAAGAGTCTTATCTACTTTCCGGTAACATAATATTTAGTCACCGAAAAGTAGATGGACTATCTGTATGAGGCAAAATTGATGAATGACAGGTGGATGCTCGCCAAGCTAACACGTGGCAGTAAAGACAGGTAGGATATGAGTCAGCAAATAGTTGACACCGGTTACGAACATGTGACCAGTGTTATGTGAAATCCGAAGACACTGGAACCAGGGATGAAGGTTAAAAGGAAGATATCGGTTGGAGAAGGCAGCATTCAAGGAGCGATGTTACAAATTATCTTTGCATTTATACTCAACCGTTATGCAACCATCAAGAGGGGTCTTTATTTTTATTAAAGAGGAGCTTGATTTGATAATCTTGTCCCTATGAATTTGGCTATAAATAGAAGAATTTGTACTCATTGTAGACACAAAATATTTGTGAGCAAAAAAGGCTAAACTTACTTTTATTATATTAACATTCTTTCTTTCTGCTCTATACACTATTTTTATTCTTGCTTCCGGAGAAGCTCATTTCACAGTCAGACTCGTATTTTCTTCAAGTTTCTTTAATTTATTTATTTATGTTCATAGTTATTTTATATTCTTGAATCAAACTAAATCACGTGTCTATAAACCATATCGCAAATTCAATTATACCGTTTTTACGGGTAAACAAAATCGTAAACCACTTTATAATAAAAAGAGGATTTAGGGTTAATATTGGTAGCTTTTGGCTAATAGTAATAGCATTTTATGAATTGACTAATATTAGTACATTTCTGCTCTAAAAGACTAAACTAAGTAGTTTTCTCTCTATAAAAATGTTGGGGAAAAAACATAAGTAGGCAATATTTAAGAAAAAAATTCAAAAACCTAGCAGCAATAGCTATTTTACATTCTTGGCTACTAAATAAATATATTGCATAGCAGAAAATCACTTAATCCCATTACAATAGGGATGTTAGTTAGTAATCCCTAGAAATAAGCAATAATAAAAGGAAAGATGATAACGTTCATCCAAAAATAAAACTCCCTTCCAAATTCCACTAAAATAGGCATATTAATTAATGATACACTAGTCCTACCAATCACAAATAAATAACGGCACTTCCGTGAATTATTATAATTTTAAAGTGATTGCTACTCTTCTTGAATTGAAATATACATCCAGTCAATGTGTTCTCTTTAATAATATTTTCATTAATTTTTCATCATGTATAATTAATAATATGTATAATACTGGAAGAAATCATGTATATTTACCACAAACATCCTTATATTCTGAAAAATATAAAATACACATATTTAGTGAAATATATATATATATATATATATATATATATATATATATATATATA